AGGGGTGCGGGGGGCACCCCCGGGCTGCAGCCGGGGCTTTCGGAGGCAGCGCCTGGGAGCTTTGGCCTCTGCAACATCCCCCGGCAACGCGCGCCCTGAAACGCGTGAAGATAAAGCGCCCTCATCGCATCCAAGCTTCCGCGCCTTGCGGGTGCGGTTGATGGCGGCATTGCGGACATCTCCTTCCTCCCTTCCCTTTTCTCGCAGACCTCCTTCCACGTCACCTCGCACGCCTTTTCGAATACCCTGGCGCAGTGTGGCATGTACAGAGATAACGGGCTCAACACCTCCCTGGAGAAGAGCCACGTCACCGGCCCAGACAACTTCATCACCGCCCACGACCACCTCAACTTCCACCCCAGCTACAACCCAAGCGGCCCGTCGCACTGCTAGATCCATGACGACAATGCGAAGCTGCTTCAATTTACTGCTGGCTGCCTAGATAAAAAAACAAAACCCAAAAAAACCCACGAGCAAGCAAACACCACCACCGACCTTATCCTAAATCTGGGGCTAAGCCTCATCGAAAGCGTGACAGGAGGCAGTACGCCCTTGCGCTGTAGCTGCTGATGGAGGTTGCAGGCTGTTTCATCCAGAACAAGGCAGGTTTCTGCTACCGTCGTGCCCCGTGCGCTCCTGTTAGAGCACTTGGCTTCAGGCTGCCTCCCCTGAACACAGACCTGGGATGTCACGGTTGTCATCACCGGGGAGAGCGAAGCTGTACAGACCGTCAGGAAAACAATTCATATGGCACACTAAGCAGCAGCAGATTAACACACGTGCTATTAACGCACTATTAACCACCTAAATCAGGATGGAATGAATTTTTCTCCTGAAAACAGGAAAAAAAAAAATCTTTCAGCTTGGTAATGTGAGACTTCCATTACAGTGTGACAAATAGCTGCAAATTAGCAGGTTAAAGGTAGCAGTACATTGCTAAAAACAACCTCCCCGACCCAAACTGTTGTATTTTTATTTTTTTTTAGCAGGACTCCTACTTAGTTAAGGTCACAAATTTAGCTTTGGGGGAAAAGCAGTTTAAATCTGTGTTACCAAAACCCAGCTCAGTAATTTGTTGGGAAGAGCACATACAGCCACTTTGGTACTAGATGAAAGTAACTAATTTACCAAATGGATGTTATTAGGAATAATAACTTAATTTATAGAGATTTAATGTGATTAAATGTCAGTTAATTAGCTCATATGAACCATTTTACTTAATTTATAGGCAGCATATGGTTATAAATACTAGAACAATATACATTACATATATACATTTTATTCCCTTAACCTTTTCTCTGTCACTAATGATCCCTTAAACTCTTGGCTCAAGTACCACATATGATTACAAATTAAGATTTTTAAACTGTTTCTGTACTACTTAATGAATAACCAAACTGCCTGTTTTCCAGAGGTATTCATTAAGCCCTTGGATTTCTTGTAGAAAGCATGTTCATCTTACCTCTCAAAACTACAACGTTTTAAGAAACTATTCAAATAAAGACAACTACTCAAAAAGAAAATGTTTTCTTACGCTTTATTGTAACCACTGCAGTTACATAGCCAGCGAAACTGCGTCGTTTAGACAGTAACTGCACTAAAAAGAGCACCTTTGCATGCCTGCCTTAAAAAGTGGTCTTGAAGAGAAACTGGCCTGCCTGGTTATGGATGAGGAACGGTCCTACCTTACAGGTAGAACATACTGATAGTATGGATTAAAAATGAGCATAATATTATTCTAGCTGTTTGCTAAAAAAAAAAAAAATATAAAAAACTGAGTGTAATAATATGTCCAAGTACCACTGCAAATTATATTCTTCACGTGAGAAATATTCCCTGTTTGTGTCATTTTTATATCGTCTTACAAACTGCACAGGAAGCATGACAACGATATATTTAAACATACTTGCAAGGTAGAGGTATTCTGGTTAGTTAATCCTATCACTACGCAAAAACCTGCAGTCCAAAACTGCACAGTGTGTCAGGCCTGCACTTGGGCTTTTTTTAAACATTCAAACCCCAGCGTAGCTACATGTTCTGGCCCCCCCGCAAGATTTCAATCACGCCTACCCAACAATTCCAGTTTTCACTCCAATGCCTTTGGTTATCTCCAACAGAAGAACAGCCGGTTAAATTCACCTTTGCTGAAAACACACCAATACACTGGAACAAGTAAATATACTAAGCAGAAATGGGCCTGAAAAGTTAACTTTAAAAATATTTAACATGTGAAAATAAATAAGCAACCCTCTATCATTCACTGCTATTCTTCTATTAGACTCTAGACAACACCTTGAGCTTCTCATAACTTCCCTTTCTTCTCCTGAAATGAAAAATAACATAAAACGTGGAATTAATACAAACAGTTGTGACAATTTTACATATATTTTTATCCACAGGTTTTTCTGCAGGTGGAATAATTTAGGGATAAGACTGCCTCTTAAAAATATAAACTTAGTGGCTTTTGTCACAATTTTCCACCTGTTTTCATACTTCATCTAAAAACACCCACTTCTTTTCTTCCTTGCCTTTGTTTCTTCCCTTTTTGTTTTATTCTTGAACTGAAACCAGTTCCTTTGAACGGTTTTGCATGCAGCGTGCCTTACGTCACCCTCATACAGACCGTACCCTGCCATACGCGGGGGTAAGGTTATCCAATTCTCCTCCGCTCAGAAGGGAGCAACACGCGAGCTTCAGCTGCAGCCAGCCCCAGGAGACGTGCCTCTACACGCTGAGTTGCTCAAGACTACAGAGGTTTGCAGTTCCTCCGCATCCCTCCCGCGCACTCTGTTCCTCTGAAATGTCCTGTGTCCTCATGTCAGCTTGTTTACCTTACTTAGGTCAAAGACATATTTTCCTTGTGTTCCCTTTCCTGCATTTCCCTATTTTGTTGGAGACCCAATACATTTTTTTTTTTTAATTTTTAAGAAATACCTGTACAAATTCAAAATATCATCCTAAAGATGACACGTTTTACTGCAGAGAATCTACCTGAAACAGTCTCTTTCTGCTCTGGATTTTGAAAGCGACATTTGCAGATAGAACTACGTAAGGCTGCACTATCAAACCAAGACAAACTGCAGTTCTTAAAGGTCTAAAAAATTAAAAGCATATACATTAATAAAAGAAACGGCAGCAGAGATGGTGTGTTCCTTCTTTGTATAAAAAGAAGCTACACATCAAAACACATGTTCCTAAAATAGCAGCAAAGAACTGTTTATAAAAATGTAAGGTAGTCCTTGTGGTCCCCTGAGGATCCTTGAAGATTGCCCTTCCTGAAGCACAGAAAAATAGACACTGCGATGAAAATAAACCAATGTACCTATTTTCAAAGTCCCGAGCGAGCACAGATTTATCTGAGAACTCTGGTATTGCAGTCAGGATGCTGTAACTACCAGGAGCCATAATAAAATATACTGAGTAGTTTAATAACTTAACATGCAAATTAGCAGGTTTTGTGCTCTGACTGAAAAAAAAAAAAATCGTTGTGCATTTTTTAACAATATAAACCAGCACTCATAAAAAAAAAAAGGTAACTTCTTTACATGTTTGAGTAGCCCTGAGTCCATGGTTCCACATCTACTGCAATAGATAAAGGATCAAATTAATGCTTCAGGAGGCTTGAAATAACGGAAAAAGGAGCTTGTTCCGGGCACTGACCATAGCTATCACTGGCGCGCTGAAAAGGGCCCGGAGGGGTGTACAGGCTGTGCCTACCCTGCGGCTGGCTGCCTGTTGTGATCAGCGTCACCGGGAAGAACGAAATGCTTTTGGTACTGCATCTACCAAGGTTCAACCTCAAGAGATTTGTACTGCAGTCCCTGACTTGGTACCACACGCGTGGGACTCTTGCTCATGAATTTATTCTCACTCAATACAATCTTTCTACTCCCCAGCAGTTCAACCTTTCATCTGTAATGCGTAAGAGTGATTTCTCTTCTTCGAACGAGTGGTAAGAACTGTACCCAGAATGACGATGGTGCCAGCAGAGCCATGGCACTCTTACGGCTGCAGCACCAGTTCCATGGGTTCACTGACCCACATCCCCTGTGGGTGCTTGCTCCTCCTTGGCAAGTCAGCAATTCTCAGGGGACAAAGTCTGGAAAAAATTACTTGCAGAGACCAAGGATGACTGGGAGGACGTGGAGGTAGAAGGGAATACCCATAGCATATTGGTGCAGAAACACCAATTGGTGCAGACGGGATGGTCTGAATACCAAAACAGCAGTCTTCCCTCCCTCCCTCCCACCCTGATGACTAGCTCAGCATCTCCATGCCTTCTAGGAGAACCTCAGGGCTGGGTGTCGCAACGTCACTCATGAGCAAGAAAGCGTGTTCATCCCATCTCCACACCATCAAGGGCTCCCAGCCTCGCTACCACCAGTCCCGGCTAGCGGGGCAGAAAGGATCACGTGCAAATCCTGGGTGCTGCAGAGGATGCCATTTAGAGACACGCGGCGTGCTTTCCGACTGAATGCCACAAAACCAAGGAACCCCTTTTGCTAATCCTCATGCCACTAACAGAGAGGGGCAAGCACAAGGAAAGACTCCACTTCTTGACCACAAACACCAGGAAAGAAAACTGCTGCTAGGGTTTTGCTAAAACTGCGAAAACCCTTCTCGCCTCCCAGAATACCAGCAACTTTTTTTGTCTATGCACTTTGTAGATTCTTCTTCTTCATTTTTTGTTATTAAGAACAATATTCCCTTAAATGGACACATCTTTAAAGATCTGGGTTCTGCTTCCCAGTCACAAGGAACTCGCACGCTATTGTCAGACAGGGGATTACGGCGTCAGGCAGCGAGTGGCTGAAGACAACAGGAGGCAAGAAGCAAGAGCAGCAGATGAAATGAGATCCTGTTCCCAGGTTTGGCCAACACAAACACTGTGATCGTCTGAAAGGCTGACATCCTTTGCTCACAAACCTGACTGGCACAAGCTAATTACATCTCCCGACTACAGTCAGGAGAGAAAAAAAACCACCCCACAGAAATACCGCTCACTAAAGACGATGACACAAATCATAGGAGCACTCTGGTTTCACGGTCCATGGTCAGAACCCCATTTATTAAACATTATAAACTTATCAATGTACACCATTTCCTATATACAAATCAAGTTTATCAATTTTAAAAAGTGCTGCTTGAAATTAGGTTTTATTTAAAGCACAAGGTAATCGGAATTGCATCTTAACTGAAAGTGAATAGTATTGAGAACACAGACACATCGAGAGGGGCACAAGACACCTTTTAAGTCTTAATGTTGATTTACTGAAAACTTTGATGAGAAACATTCAGCTTATTTTATACAAACAGTACATAGTGCTTCCATCATCTCTATTAAAATTAAGTATACAGTTTAATCCTTTTAAAGCAAGGTACTCTGAAAACTT